AACGAACACGCACAGGGGAGGAACGTAAAAACTTAATATTGTCAAAACTGCGATAAGATAATTGGGCGGGATCTCCCCAAGCAGAGCGATATTTTTTAGGATCAGATGGATAGAAGAACTGAAAACATCATGGGAAATTCTCACCTAGCATCACCACTTTTTACCTTTCTACCTATAGCAACAGTAGGCTCTTAACTTACAAACGTTGTCAACACTTTTAAACATTTTTGTCAGTGTGCAGTAACGTATTTCAACTTGTTTTCTAAACATAATTCTTTATTTATTTACTGTATTACTTTTACTTTATATTTTTATCAAACCTTGCATCAAAGGAAAACGGCTTCTGACATTTAAAATTGGCTGACTGAATTCTTATCTTATCTCATCTTGCCCCATCTTATCTTATTGTATCTTACGCACTCACTCATACACACACACACACACACACACAAACACACACACACACACACACACACACACAAAAGCAAACATAAATATTAATTCCTTACCTCTCTCTTCAATACCTCCTATAATAACCAATCCACAAAAGAGGACAAAAATCAGGAGTGGATTCTTCATAGCTAAATTCCGATCGGTTGTCGCCAAGTCTGTGATATTACAAGCAGTGTCCGTTTATCGTTTTTACTGAAATGAGCTCCTGCCTGAAGCGTGCAGGTTTTATACCAATTGGAGCCACGCCCACCTTTCCGTCACGGGGAGTAATCGTTAGACTCTAATGACGGTGGGTAGCTTGTGGGTGACAGCGTCTGGATATAATTCTTTATGATCATTAACGCGTGACATCCGTAGAGGAGGATCCCACCTGGGCGTATGATCAACGGCGATGTGGAGAACCGCTGCGTTGCGCGTTGACTACCATTACATTTTTTTCTCATATCATTTCACGATTTCAAGTCTATTTTTTTAAAGGGGGGTGAGATTACAAATTGGCGCCCTTTTACATGTAGCCGCAGTTGAATTTTTATGAACAAACAGGCGTATCTCACTGTTTATTAAACTAATTCAGTTCTCAACGACGATGCATGTTATGTATGTAAATTAAATAAAGTGTTTAAGTACCATGAAAAACCGTTTTAATACGAACAAATTAAAATACAGAAATTTACAACCGTCCTGAAAATTCAGTGGTTTCATATGCCCCTCCCATCAACCTCGAGCAAAGGAGAAATGTCTGTTCATGTAAATGATATGTGTTACTTTTGTTCTGTACATCATCATACTATCAGTATTCCCATTTATCTGCTGACGAGATGAAATGATCGGTCATTTAATATACACATGTGTCTCCTTTTTGTGTTTTCTTTGTCGTAAACATTGGAGCTGATCCTTACTTCGTGTGGATCGGTAGTTTCATCAAAATTGTGGAATGTGAAAATAAATTCCAGTGTTAACTTTGCTGAGAGAAAGAGAGAGAGAGAGAGAGAGAGAGAGAGAAACCTTAGTATCGGATAAGTTCCACCCATGATAAACACATGTTGATTTTCTACATATTATAAAATTATCTATGAATAAAATGCAAATGTCAGGCTGTAATTATTTTGTGAAAACCCTCCCTGCTCTTGTTATAGCTTTTTTTTTTCAAGCAACAAGAGCGTGAAAAGAGCGTGCATAAATTCCGAACTCAACTTAGAATGTACAGCGGATAGCCTTGTACAATTTCACCGGCGAAATTTCCATCAGTTTCACATAAAAAAAATTAAGCAGGCCAGATTTTATGTGGCAAGAATTACGAATTCCTAGGCCTATCAATATCAGTGTAAAACCAATGTGAAAAAGTCCACGAAATAAAGATAACTTCTAATTTTCAAAATCACCACTAAAATTCACCGAGATATGCAGTGGTGTGCAACTAATATAAACTGGGACGCGTATCCAGGGACGTGTTTTTTTCTCAAATATTATTTTATTTATTCATTTCTTTATTGTATTTTATTTATCTGTTAGTGTGTGTGTGTGTGTGTGTGTGTGTGTAATGAATACGAGAAAAATGATGGAATTTGCAGGAAAAAATGTGTCTTATAAAGGTATATCGCTCATCGTCGGTCCTTAAAGTCGAAACTCGATCTTAGCTACATACTGTAGTTAGAGCATTTTAGCTCTCCGCCGATTCTTTTGCATTAAAAAAAGACTGGCCCACTAAAAGCCAGTACATACATGTAGCTATGCCATACAATAACCCGCGTCACTGCTAAATGTCCGACAACTATCCTGGACACATTTTCATCCCAAACAGGTAAATCAATGCCACATTGCAGTTACGCCACTGTGTCATTAATACCCCCTCTCTGCGTTATCAAGGTGTCGATTACGTCACTATCAAATTAACACCACCTATCCCGCTCAGGTGACTTTATTGAATGCCAAAGGCAACGACAGGGGGTGGTATCACAGTCTGTATGAAATGTAGCTAGGAATTTTAATTCTGTAAGAATGAGAAATGCACAGAGGCATATTGTGCGGATTCGAGAATTTGACCCCTTAAAAATTAAGAAAGATTAAAAGAAAACTGAAAAGCACGCCGAAAGCGCAGGCCCCCACCAAAGCAGTTCAGTTCTTATTGTTATTTATTAATCAGTTTCTCAATAATTTAATTAGCTTAATTATCATTATTATGTATTACTTACTTATTCACTCATTGATCAGCAAATTTTTCACATTTTACCAATTCATTATTATTTCACTGATCAACACCAAAATCTAAACTATTCCTTACCTGTTCGGAGAATTTTACCAAAATCTCTCAACAATTTTTGCATATTGATGCTTAAGGACACACAACCAAATGAATTAACTAATTGATATTTAACCATTCCCAACAGTTTCTGAATATCTAACCAAATTACGTCCAGAATTTTTTTTCATAATTTTGCCAACATAGAAGCAGATAAAGGGAACCAAGCATATAAAGTGACATCCTTGGCAAAAGCAATTATAGAAAAGAAAAACCTTTTTATTTAAAGAACATTTTGCTTTACTTTTATCTGTTTGTTTTAATATTGTAATGTTAGTTTTTAATTTATCTTAAATAGTGTATGTAAATATTTAAATTAAAATATGTAAATTATTTAAAGCGTCCCATCTACTTTGACACTGTAAAAATACGATACGATTAGTCAGAGATTTCGAAGAGAAAGTATATTAGACATGTCCTGCAGAAAAAGAAAAACAAACAAACACAGAATGTGTATTTCTAAGCAGCGATGAAGACACTAAAAAGGGAAGAAAGAATGCAAATATTATGTAGTCTCTACTTGCTCGAAAGAACCTTTTTTTTTTGTTTGCAACCACTAACGCGTTCACTTCTACGCCATTTACAAAAAAACACTGAAACTATTGACGGGAAATTATTTTATATTTTCCATTCAACTGGCGGCAAAGATGAAATTTCGATTAAGACTTAACGATTGAATGGACGACTATTTTGATCGGTAAGGCATACTTTGCACGTTAGATCATTAAATGAAAAATACCGAATATCACGGATACAGCATAGCAAAACAAAATGACGAACAATGACAATATTGACAATATAAATATATATTTAAAAAACTCATATTATTTAAAATTACACTTAAGGTATGTATTATGGTTAAGGATCTAAAGTTAACTTTCCTGAGGATTTCAACAATTATTTGTCAGTCACTAAGATACTTCCTATACGAGATGGTTGCATTATTGTTATGGGTAGGAGCACACACAGCATCTATACCATTCAACTATCACACACTTTTAACACATCTGGCTTTCGAACAAATTGGAAAAGAAACAAGAAACACAAGGTACATTTACACTTTATTGCTATTTATTGAGTGTTTTATTGCTTGCTTTTCAGATATCGTTTGATAAGGAAACAAAGTTAGAGCATAAATTGAACAGTATAAGGATCATATTTTAAAACAAAATGGATTGTTTTAATTCTACAAAAACATTAGTCACTTTATACTATTACTAATTGCGATCTAAAATGATCGAAAACACCATCAAAACATGACCAGTGACCAAAGCAGACTGTCTGGATGTCATGATTATAACTTCTGCTCTGTGGTGATATTAATGACCAATGAAGGTCGCATTACCCAAAGTTACTTCATTTCTTGTATCTATATATATCAGAAAAAAAGGGCTTCACTTTCCATTTTTATAAAGCGATATGATGTACGTTACTTATATGTTGCCCATGCCTAAGATAGTCAGTTGTTTGTTCTTAGTAGTTCAAAATCTGTTTGCGATGAGATATGTTGAGAAAAGGACCAGTTGGATGAAAAATACGCAAATATGTTGATATTACACCAACCAAATCACTGATTTTTTCATATCCGGCACGATCTTATACCAATCCAGGTTGACTCTTGCAGGAAAGCGGAAGTCACGTGTTGGAAGGATAGTGTGCCCAGATGATACAACTGAAAGACGAAAGAGGAATAAATAAATAAATAAATAAATAAATAAATAAATAAATAAATAAATAAACTGTTTTTGTCTGCAGGTCATTTTGCCAAACAAACTGTTAAGTTTTAATAACATTAACGTGCATATACAGGTGATTTGCACAAAGATTGGAATGAAAATATTTAAATTAAACTTTTCTCTCAGAGAGAGTTTATGGTAATTCAACATCAACGCAACTTTCAGAGTAATATTTTATCTACGCAAGATCACATTTAGTCTGAATTGCATAATTTTACACAGTGACTTCATGCTATTTACGTACGTTCTTTACCTCTTTACCGTTAAAGATCCAGGAGTCTTTTAAGTAGGTTGATATTGGCATCTTCACCTGAAAGCAAAGTCGTACAAAGTTATATTAAAATATCGAAGTAGGTATGCAGACACATAATTACTGAAGCAGCTTCTGTAAACTTAGATGATAAACGAAAGTCAGGAGTTCCCACCTGCCATAAAAACTGTTTGCAAATGAATTTTATCACTAATTCAAGTTTCTAACTATAAAAAAACTGTTCGCATGCGTGTGTTCTTACCGTAACCTCTTCGGTTCAGTTCGTCGTCGGTCTCACCGTCGAACACCCGCTGGGTTTTATACCCTGAAATGGGACGACAAAAATCAATGCAATGCTTTTTTCTGTTACAAATATGGGACCAAATATGGGTGCATTTTTAAGAATTAAAATACAGAAAGATACAGTTTCCATGCAGTTAATTTCCCATTGTGTATTTTTTTCTATGTTTATTCATTATTTCATTACTTTCCCCTAAGGCCACAGTGTATGTACAAGTGTATATGCCTGTGAGCTGTGATTGATGAGTCGTCACATGTGTACATGTATGTTTGTGTGTTACCTCCGAAACGCCGTTTATCGTCGTTAATCCTCTGGGCTCTATACCCTGAAATTGAGCAGGCATAATAATAATAATAATAATAATAATAATAATAATAATAATAATAATAATAATCGTTTTATTTCCTTAGAACTTTTTGATGATGGTGCATTTTCATAAAATAGAGGTTTTCTATATCAAAAATTAAACGTTCGCATATAACACACCTTGACTTTTTATTTTTCAATTGTCCTTTTTATGTTGTTTATATTTTAATGTGCCTTCTGATATCACAGATCATCCTAGTATAACATGTTACAAAATTATGTTTGAACAGAGCAATAGCAACCTTAATGGTCAGAAAATAATTTGAAGGCATTTTTGCTCGAATTTTCATTTCTTAATGCTTCTGAACTTTCCAAATGCAAGCTTTAAAGTAGATTAAAATGCCATCGCAATGTCCTTCTGAACCGTAGATCTTTGAAAGGTCCAAGACAAATATAATTGAGAGATATTGTCGTCTATATTATATAAGATTCGAGGCTACAATGTCAGATTGTATTACGAAGTTCTTTCGGAAGTTGCGTATCTTGTTAATCTCAAGAAGGCAGTGGGTTCTAAATGATTGGCAACTAATTAATTTTTAAATAATTATTATTAAAAATTGTAAAAAAACATCGACTTAACTGCACAAATAAAGAATTGAAAATATTAGATATTTGCTTTTTTCTCGAGAAAAATCCGTTTTGGCGCGAAGAGCACAGTTACAAGGACCTCTTAAGGATACTTATAAATATAACTCTTTGAGTGCTGATGTTGTTGTAGTTTCTGTTTGTATGTGTGTTTTTATCCATGCAAGTGTGCTTTTACCTTTACCTCTTTTCTCTGTTTCTATGTCGGTGGCTTTGTCAGTTGCCTCTTCAGCTCTATACCCTCTATACCCTAAATAAAAATGATAATTGTTTTGTAGTATCTTGCCCGTCACCAAATAACAACAATGGAATATCTCTCCAAACTTTATTCACTCGAAAGTATATCGTTTTTGTTTTAAGATATACCAAAGACATATATTTCTTCGCCTAATCATCACACCAACCAAAAATTATTCTTCAAATCAGACCTTTACTAAAAAAACATAGCAAAAACAGTAACTAGTGCCATTATATTTCGCTGCAAAGACAAGAAGACACCGCGGTTTAAATGAGTCGTAACACGCTAAGATTTTTTTCTTTAAAAATGCTACAAAACAGCTATCACAAATGAGGGAACGGATGGAGCAATGATTTATCAGCAGTACAATGCACTTTCTTCTTTACTCACCGTGCCCATATCCTGAAACAAATAAGGAGGTTCCAAATTTATATTTCGTCTGTTATCATAATAAAAACGGCGATGTCACAGGCCTTTTGAGACTTCAACACCAACTTTGTGATACAATTAAATTACCAAACTAAATGTCTTTTAATGACTCTGACCTTTTTTTAAATTAAAAACCTTTTTAAATCCGAGCAATTCAGTCTACCGAATATTTTAAAAAAAGAACTCAAAACATACCTTTTTAGGAAATATTTTGATTAACTCTTAATTGGTTTTATAAATCTTGTATTAATTGCATTTAATCGTATGGATTAATGGCTGTTTTACCTAGATTTTATTTATGATATTTTATGTAGTATTATTTATGATATTTTATGTAAAGTCTACTGAACATTTTAAATGGATTTTAGACCTAAAATAAATTTATTATTATTATTTATTATTAATTTAAGGTTTATTTTCATCAACTGTATCCGGGAAATGATTTCTCAGTAGGAAAATGCACTTTCTTCGTCTACTTACGGTAACACCTTCGTCTACTTACCGTAATATCCTGAAACAAATCAGTAGGTTCCAAATTAATATTTTGGCTGTTACCATAATAAAAACCTATGGTCACAGGATTTTTGAGACTTCAACACCAACTGTGTGATCCGGTTTTATTACCAAACAAAATGTCTTTTAATGACTTTTGATGACCATTTTTTTTTAAATTGAAAACCTTTTAATTTAAAGTATATTTTGATCAATTGTATCCTTTAGTTTTTAATTTCTTTTATAGCTTAGTTTTTAATTCATCTGTGCAGTTTTAGTTTTATATACATGTACATATGCCGAGACGCATTTAAGAAATAAGTTATTATCGTTATTATTAAAAAATCATTCATTTTGATTATATCTGTTCACGTTCATGTGCTTGTGTGTGTGTTTCGATGTTTTGTAACTGCAAGTATTGCAGGTGTAATGTTTGGTCACCGTAAAATCTCTTCATTTTGTCTTTTTCATCACTGTCGTCGACGTCTTGGTCGTCTAAAACAGAAATTAAGCAAGCATTTTGCTATTCAAGAAAACTGTTTGATAAACATCTTTACCCAAGTAAATTAATTCAGGAAAATTTTAAAGTAACAATAACGCACCTAACTTCATATATTTAATTAAGCCTACAATATCATTTTTTTACTTACATAAATCATAATTTTCATTTGTCAAGAGGTCATTAACAGAAATTAAAGACAAAAGACGGAAACGATTTGGACGGGCCTTCATTACAATGACGTCATAAAGATAGACAACATTGCACTCCAACAGAATCACACGCCTTTAAAGACATAACTGAAATACTTCACTTCATACTGCATCAAGATAAAACATATCAACTTCTAGTGCACAGATTCGTCGAACAAAAAAGAGACCGAAGCAGAAATTTGCTTTTTTTTCTCGCGGAAAATCCGTTTTGATGCGAAGAGCAAGATCACGAAGATCTTATAAGGATACTTTTAAATATACTCTCTTTTCCTGTGTGTGTGTGTGTGTGTGTGTGTGTGTGTGTGAGTGCGTGTGTGTTTATACATGCGTGCGTGCTCTTACCGTTACCTCTTTTCTCCGCCTCTATGTCAATGGCTTTGTCGTTTACCTTTTCAGCTCTATACCCTCTATACCCTCTATACCCTATATAAAGAAATAATTGTTTAATAGTATCTTGCCCGTGACCAAAATAACAGCAATGGCATATCTCCCCAAACTTTATTCACTTGAAAATATACCGTTTGTATTTTAAGATGTACTAACGTCATATATTTCTTCGCCTTATTATCTCACCAACCAAAAATTATTCTTCAAATCAGTACCAAGTGCCATTATATTAGGCTGCAAAGACAAGACGACATCGCGGTTTAAATGAGTCATATACTAAAGTCATATATTTCTACGTCTAATTATCTCACCAAACAAAAACAATTTTCCAAATTAGAGCTTTAAACGAAAAAAAACAACAAAATAGTGCCTGGTACTATAATTTTTGGCTGCATAGTCAAGAAGACAAGGCGGTTTAAATGAATCATAATATGTTTAGAACTATTTTTCATCAAACTTGCTATAAATCTCTTAGTTGGAAAAAGAATTTTCTTCGTCTACTTACCGTACCTATACGGATACCCTGAAAGAAAACATGTAAGCTTCAATTAAATGTTGTTTTTTTTGCCATAATAAAAAAGGCGATAATAAAAACGTATGGTCACAGGATTTTTGAGACTACAACACCAATTTTGTGATCCAATTTTGTCAACAAATGTGTCTTTTAATGGCTCTTATCATTATTTAAAAAAAGGTACGTTGTTATTTACATAATGTTTTGATTAACTGTATCTTTTAGTATTTAATTACTTTTATAATTTAATTTTTATTTAGCTGTGCACATTTAGTTTTTATATACACATGTAAACAAAGCTGAAACGCATGTGTTGCCTTGTTTTTGAGTAATTTATTATTATTATCATTATTATTATAATTATTTTAAAAAAACATTCATTTTGGTAATATCAATGCACGTTCGGGTGCTTGCATGCAGGGCCGTAGCCTGAGCAAAATGCCAGGGGGGGCAGTAAGCGGACACGAGGGGGCGAAGCTACTGAGGGGGGAGGGTGTGGTGTGTAAAATTCCAAATTCCAGGGGGGGGCAGCTGCCCCCCCTGCCCCCCCGGAGGCTACGGCCCTGTGCATGTATGTTTCAATGTATTGTGTCTACAGGTGCTGTATGCTTTGTTTGCATGGTCACCGTAATATCCGTAAAATCTTTTCATTTCGTTGTTTTCATCACGGGCGCCGACATCTTGGTCTTCTAGCACTGGAATTAAGCAAGCACTTTGTTAATCAAGAAAACTATTTGATAGACATCATTACTAGCTTAGCACTTCAAATCGGGGTTATTTTTAGTAATAGCTTAGATAGCACCTTACCTCACATATTTTATGAAGCCCACATTTTTTGTTATTGAATAATATCATTTTTCAAATCTTTTCACTTAAATGCACTTTTACTTATTTCAAACGTTTCAATATCCAACGGATAGTGGTTATTAACAGAAATCAACGACAAAATACGGATAAAATATTCGCTGAAACCAACGATTTGAATAGACATTTATTCACATGACATCATAAAGATAGACAACACTGCACGCCAACAGAATCAGACGCCTTTAATACTTCACTTAATACTTCACTTCATACTACATCAAGATAAAAAGGATACTTTAAATATAACTCGCTCTCGTTCTCTCTCTATCTCTCTCTCTTTTTCTTTCCTCTCTGTGTGTTTGTTGTTGTTGTTGTCGATGCTGTGTGTGTGTGTGTGTGTGTGTGTGTGTGTGTGTGTTTATACATGCGTGCGTGCTCTTACCGTTACCTCTT